GTATCTAAGTACAGCCCAGAGGAGTGGTTTTGTCGGGTAGTGATTGATTATTACCCATGTATTTGAATTAGAAAAGTGAGCCAGGGGTTGGAAGGGTTGTGTCAGTCGAGAATTGTCACCCTCTAGTGAGGCACAACCAGTAGCGTAGCCCCAACAATGCCTTCTCTAGTCACCACCAGAGAAGACAAGGGGAAATCCCAAAGGATGAAGAGGTCACAGGACATTGAGTAGTAAGGGGGGTGTCCTGACATGGCCACGATTTAGGACACCACCTCAAAGTAGGGGAGGCTCACCTTGGACCTCATGAGATGAAGGCTGGTGTTGGATGGCTAGAAACAGCAAGGCAGAGGAGTCCCTAGTCCCAGAAACAGAGAGAAAGAGAGAAAAGGAGGAGCAGAGAGGAAAGGTCCGTAAGCCTGAGGGGGCTCAGAAAGGGGGACAGACTCCCCAGGAGCCACACAGCCTCCAACCGCTGGAGTCAACGGCACCAACTGACTGAATGATTTGTACTCAGTCTGGAGCAGTGCAGAATATTGAAAAGAAACAAGCAGATAAAAAAAAGAGTTTAGGGGCTGGGGATTTAGCTCAGCGGTATAAGCACCTGCCTTGCAAGCAGGCAGTCGTGAGTTGGATCCCTGGTACCGATAAAAAGGAAAAGGAAAAAGACAAAAAAAAAAAAAAAAAAAAAAAAAAAAAAAAAAAAAAGAGTTTAATGGGGCCACAGAGGGAATCATCACAAGGAATGCTGTGGCTGCTGTCCTGCAAAGGGCAGGCTCTGCCTGATATAGCCTTAAATAGGGGAAGCGCTCTGGGAACTGATGTGAGCTGATTTATTTTGTGAGAGTGCAGGAGATTGGTAAACCTTTAAATGCCTGAGCTTTGGCATAGACTTTTGGGAGGGAGAAGCCATACGGGCTTCTGGGAAGAAGGAGGTATGTATTATCAGGGCACAGTTTTGAACCACTGCCGTGATGATTGTGCTGTCTCTCAGATGAGGAACCTAACAAATATCTCTAGTACATGGGAAGCTCCTACCTAACTTGTTGACCTTTAATGAGAAGTCACTGAAGAAATGTGTGACATTGTCTGGATTGCTTAATGTCTAGGCATCTCTAAGTATAGAGGCACATACCTAGCAATACATCAAATAAGTTTTTCTTAAAGGTAGATGTCTGAATCTGAAAGAAAGGTATCACCTATTTTATACTTTGGAAGACCTGTATTTTTGAAGGCATGAATACATTTAATAACCATGAGATTAATAACAATCAATTCCAATGAAAACTTTTGTTTCTTAACTTAGCTTTGTACCAGAGCATCTTTTTTCCTTCTTTCTTTTTCTTTTTCTTTTTTTTTTTTTTTTTGTCTTTTTGAGACAGGGTCTTACTATGCAGTTCAGGCTGGCCTTGAGCTCATTTTGTAACTCAGGCTAGTTTCCCAGAGCATCTTTAAATCAGAAAACCTTATTATCTTATTTCTAGAAAACCTAACCTTTTGACAATGACCAATGTAAACCTATCACAATAATATATTCATAGTAACATTTATTTGGGTGTCTCCCACGGGGCTATGGAGATCACTGGGGCTTCTTATTAATGAGCAAAGGCTGAGATATAACTTTTCCCAGGTAGTTGCTCCTTTATTCACCAAAGGGAGCCCTGACCAATAATCCCCAAGCCTGAAGGGTCCCCATTTAATTACTTTAACAAATTTCTGATGGCCTATGAGAAACCCAATTTTAAGATCATTGTGATCAGCTGGCAACCCAAGTGGAAGCATGATTTTTAAATCTTCAAGTCAAATTAAATTATAAACAAAATGATCCAAAAATGCAAAAGAAAAAGGAAAGAAAAAATGTTGAGCTCAAATAAAAAACTTCATTTGCCAGAGATAACTGGGATAACCCTCAAGGATTAAACCCCCCCCCCAGAGGGAGTGAGGGAAGATATGTTATGCATGAGGAATATTGCTTAATAATTTGTCAAGTTTGTTTCTGGGTTAAAGGGAACTTTTGTGCAACACAGAAATGTTTTGATGGAAGGTAGCATGGGAGGCAGAAACCTGCCGCATGGTATCTGAGGGAACAACAGTGACAATAGCAATCTGTCTATTGCAGCATTTCCCTCAGTGAGAGGTCCTGGCAACTGGGTATGGGATGTAAGTGGTTGATAAAACAGGGAACATGGCATGACCAACTGGCAAATTGGAGCATGTGAAATAAATGAAAAAGATCTTGGCCAGTGTGTATAGTGGTAGTTTCAGTGTGCACAGCACACCGGAAACAAGCATTATCTGAAGAAAGGTTAATAAGAATGAATGGATGAGCCAGGCGTGGTGGCGCACTTCTATAATCCCAGCACCTGGAAGGCTGAGACAGGAGGATCACTGCAAGTTCGAGACCAGCCTGGGCCACAAAGTGAGCCCAAGACTAGCTGGAACTGCATAGTGAGACCTTGTCTCAAAAAAGACAAAAAAAAAAAAAAAAATGAAATGAAATGAGTGGATGATCTTGCAAGGCCTATATAACAGCCTATGATTCAGACTTTTGTGCAGAAGAAATACCCAAGTCTAAATTTGGGAAGAGGACACCTCCCCTGCCCAAAAAGGACTGCTATAGGAACCAGCTTATTTCTGAAGGGAAGACAAAGGGTGTGAGGAAAGCAAATTGAATTAACCTGGCTGGAAGATAATGACAATCAGTAACACCAGGGAAGTTAGCCAATGCAACTGCCAAGAGGGTGAAAACTGCCACAGCCACTGTTGTTGAACAGAAGAAAAGGGAACAATAATAGTTTGCACCTCACAATCAAAGAGCAAACCAGCATGCATTTTCCCACATGCAGTCAATCCTGCCACAGCGTCATAAAAGGGAATAATTCTTGTATGCAGCGTATGTGGCAAATGTAACCATTGTAAAAGGCCCTGAGACTGCCAAAGGACCCTAGTGGGCATATGTTCAGTTCACAAAATGATTTAAAACATTGGCAAAGACAGGTCAATTCTAGAGAAAGCCAGACTGACTGCCCACGGTGACTTGGCCTTTCATATAAGTGCTCTAGGAGACATAGGGGTTGGGTTTCCCTTGAGAATGTCAAAGAGAGGGGCTAAATCATGAGTTGTTAGATTAAGGGCCCATTCATTTTGCAGACTCTTAAAGCCTTTTATACCAATTATTTGTATTTATTTTCAAAGGCCAATTGTTGAATGATTGACTTGTCAGCCTCTGTGTCAGCAAAGCCACCTTTTCCAGTTAACATGTCTATTGTAATGGCCATATTGCAAGCAGCACTGCAAGTGGCTTGATCCATTCACAACTCAAAATATTTTCCCTTCCACAACAAATAATCCCCCAGACTTGGACATGCCCCAGCCATTCCTTTCCAATCATTGGGGACCACTGCCTGCTGTTTTATGAGCTCCACAAAGCCCAAGGTAATGAAGGATACAGTCCCATGAAGATGCGCAACTCATCCTGGACCATTGGGATCCTGGAGTTCAGTAGCAGGACAAATACACTGAAAAATACCCAGGGATTTTCCTGCCCCCACCCCGGCCTCCTTCAGCTCCAACTGCAAGGGAGAAAGAAGGGATGACTCCGTTCTTGAAGGATGGAAGTCTCAGCATGTGACACAGCAAAATTGTTCTGACCTGAGAAAGCACAAGTAGTCACTTGTGGTGCAGTTAAGGTTATCACTTTTACTTTGGGCAGTTATGAAATGAAAAAGTGAAACACTCCTCTAGTGGAGAAACAGTACTCTGAGCCAGATCCTCTGTGGTCATCTCAACAGGCATACAATTAAGACAAGACACTCCCTGGTCCATGTCCACAACAAAAAGGTAAACACAGAAATTAATAATGCAACAAGCATTTGCATATACATCTGTTGTGCTTGAGAACCTATTTGCCTCATTTTACACCTGATGATGGGATCAATATTGATGATATTAATATACCTCTGGGATCAATATTGATATCAATACACCTCTCTCCCTTTTTGTGCACCTAACTAGAGATGCTCTCTTACCTGCTAAAGGACAAGTTTCCCTGTACCCCGGGTCCCTGTTCAGGCACCAAAATGCCACATCCAGAGCAGCTCTAAAAAAAACTACTGGGGGTAGGACCATGAAGAAATGAAGGTAAAAGAGAACACGCAGAAAGCTGATGTGGCGCCCTCTGTTGGTGGAGAAAAGAGCCGCCCAAGGACTGCAGTGTTTATGTAAACACTTGGCAGGTTGACGGCAGGTAAAATCCCTCTGCCTAACAACCTGTTCCTCTGGCTCGCTTCAGGCGCTCTGTGTTCTCAGGGCCAGCCTTGCTCCAGCTCCGCGGGTGTGATTGGCCTTCAGCGGCAGCCACTCCCCAGTGTATTTTATTACAGCAGTGCAAATGAAGATAGCAATTCTCTCCACCACTGTCACCTAAATATACCTTCTCTTAACTTACCTCTTTACTATAGTGCTATTCTTGGAAGTGTGATTTATGTTCCTTCTGTGACCTAACTTCTCTCTCATTCCTTGACCCTCAAAACATGATTTATCCTTCTCAGCCTCCTTGCTTCGAGGTTTTTGTTTTCTTCTTTTCCCCTTCTACTCCTGTGTAGTACTCGTTGCATTCTGACATTAGCACTTCACTCCTCTCAGCCTGTGTACTCTGTCCATCCACTCCTGTAGTTTATCCACCATATATGATGACTCCCCAAGCCATAACTCCAACCATAAAATCTTCCCAAGGGGAAAAAACAGATTCTTGTGTCCTAAATGTCCACTTACATATGACAAGCATCTCAAGCTTAATTTGTCCAACACCAAGATGCATTATGCTTGTATACACTGGACAATTTTACCCATTGGATAGTGCTAGAACTCTGAAAATCAGTAGAATTTTTCTTTTCCTTTCTGTTCCTACACTCAAATAGTCTCCTATGATCCACAGATTTTGCAAAATATTTTTATCTGGGTTTGGCATGTAATATGTGTTCATAGAAAGACCTCAGACATGCTCATTCTAACATTTTATTGGAAATTGGCTGAAATAAAATCAAGGAAAAACATCATTTTTACACAGTCATATTCTACTATCTTGCTATCCTCTAACATAATTTAATAAATTCTAGGATGCCCCTGATTTGGGTATCAAATACCTTGAGTGGTCTGGAAATATCACTGTATAAATATAAATCATAGCATCTAAAATAGCCATCATTACTTTAAATTGGTTCCAAATGCATTGGGAGTATTTCCTAAAACGTAAGTACCATGGGCTGGCTACAGTGCCATTGGGGGTTGGGAAGGCAGTACATTTCAAGCTAAAGTAGCAGGAGCTGGGAAGCAGTGACACAGCATCTTGGGTGTGGGATGTATAGAAGGGGCAGAGTCTGGAGCTCCTAAAATCTGGACACCAAATTTGGCCACCCTGCATTTTCCAACATTGCTTGAGTGCTAGAGTTTACAGAGACATGAGACTCCAATGCAGAAAGAAGTCCCTCACCCCAGCTCCCTTGTCACTGCCAGATAATGATATGGCCCTCTTCTAGATTACACAGGTACAAAAACTCCGGGACAGAGAAGGTTCTGGAAAGTGCTTTCCACCTCAATTCCTCTGTCAAACTCAGCCCTCCGTACCCCAACTGAGAAAATTAAAGGAGGGACAATTCAAAGAAAATAAGTTTGATCCAATGTGCGACTGGTCCCTTGGAATAAGGACAGAGTGGCTGTCCTCCTTGGTCTCATTCGAGGGGCACTGGCAAAGGCTGCTCTGTGCCCAGCATCTCCCTCACCAACTTTAAGGCATCATTGGCTTTTAGGGTTTTTGGTTCTTCAAAGCTTCTCAGCACATAGTATTAACACCTGGTGGCCTTATGGCTCACAAACAGCTTTCACCTTTGCTGAGTCTTTTGGTTCTTACAGCCCTATGAGGTAGGAAAGGTGGGGGAACACAATCCCTAGTAGAAAGATAAGGAACCTGGAACTCAGAGTTAGGTCACTCGACCAAATTTGCACAATTGGCCAGCTGTAGAATCAAAATTAGAACACAGATCTAACTCCAAAGTCCATCCCATTTTTTTTCTGAGAACAGGCTGGGAGAAGGGACCCATGTCCTCATTGCCAGCCTGATCCTCTTGAATGGTTGTCAGACAGCCCCACTGATGATCGGATGAGTCCACATTCGATAGATGATGACTGCAGTGGCTGGGCACAGCAACAAGGAGGTCATGATGACAATAGTGGCCAGGATGATGAGGACAATGAGCCAGATATCCAAGATGTGCTTAGGAAGCACAGCTTCTGCAGGGGACTGGCTGATAGCATCCATGCTGCCCCACTCTGCAACACACAGAAAAGGGAAATCAGCTTTGTGGACCATCTGCTACCCTCTTGGTTAGAAGGACACCTCCAGGGGCCACAAGCTTATGGCACTAACCAGCATGTGCTCTGTAAGTTTCCTTGATCAGTAACTATAATGGCTTCACTTACTGAAGGCTTATTAGTAGATCTATAAAAGGCACCTTACGTCTGTTAATTCATTCATTACTCACATCAACCACCAATCTCATGAAGAAGGGACTATAATAACTGTCCATTTTTGTTTCTTGGCTTTCATCCCCAGTTATGCCCATTTTGCAAACATGAAGTCAAACCCATGAAAGATGCAGAGGCCACTAATTTGATCATGGAAGTAAAAGCAGATGGGTGGAATGCTAAAGCTTCCATGCTTATTTATTAAACTACCATGCTACCAGTCTGTTTCCCTCATTTGTGAAATGAGAAATTCATTGTTTTTAATCTTGTGTCCTTTTCTCCTTCTCTGATGACATAACTCCGTCTTTTCTGAGAACCTACCTGTTCCACGGGGTTTAGTTGGGACACTGACCCTGAGCAAAGGAATGGCAATAGGACCTCAGTTTACACAGTACAAATCTCTATAGCCACACTCAGGCAGGCAAGTAGCCCAGACTGGGAAACGTAAATCCCCAGTACTTTTATGCACAAGCTCTTGGGAAAGAAGAGTCTTTCTGCTGGAACTGCTAAAGTGAAAGGATCTGGAAAGAATGGGCTCAGGGCTCCTTGTGGAGAGTCTGGACAGGAAATGGAAAGACAGATGGTGCCTTGAGGCTCATGTGAGAGCCTGAATCCAGGTGTCATTTGTAACCCTGGACATCCCAAATACATGATCCAATAATTCCCTGTTTCTATTTAAGCTAGCACCCATTTGATATCTCTCATTTGTAGATAATACTTCAGATAAGTAAGGATGTAAACTGATTATCCCCAACCATTTCCTACTATAGTGACCTTAGTGTCTTGGTAATTTTTTTCACAGCATCCAAGCTAAAAGAAATACCTAGCAGTTCTACATGTTAAGTAAACAACCAAATAAGTATTTATGTCCTAACAACTTATTAATTTTCAAAATTATGAATTAAAATAAAAATATTATTTCATTCTTAAATAGCTATTAATATGCACCTTTGGGGGACTGAGCAACTTTCCAAACTTTGAAATAAGATTGAATGATGCTATCTTCTTCTGATTCCATATTTTAAAAATCTTTTGACAGAATTTGACATATCACAGCAACCATAAAAAACTTAACTCCATAAAATGTGACACCAACAAAGGGAATGTATTTTAGTGTTAAACTATGAGCTTTCCGGATTTAGCACTTTACAAAGTGTCTGAGAGGTGTCCAATATCACTATTTCTGATAAAAAATTTAAAGATCCTATAGCACCCCCATCCTTCTCTAGCAAGTTTACTGTGGCTCCCTAGGGCACCTCAGTGCACAAATTAAGAACCAAAAGCATACAACAGGCCCTGCTCAGACAGCAGAAGGCTAGAACAACCACCAAATCTAAGTACAATCCTGTGACTCCAGGGCCAGCAAAACCCCAAAATTCAGTCCTATTTCCTTTTCTTCTCATTACTAGCCTTTCTTCTCTAATGCCTTTGGTTTGATGCTCTCTGTTGCAACCTAAGTAAGTGCCTAATCAGTGTCTCCAAAATAGAGTACACAGGATATGCATATAAGCGTGTTTCTCCATTATACATGACAGCTACCAACATAACAAAGGTGTCCACAAATGCTAGAATAAAGTGGAGTACACTATGGTTCAGATACTGGTTCATGTGTTGATTTAATTCCCATAGTGAGGTATTAACAAGTTAGAAAGATAACATGACTATAGTATTTAAAATGTAGACTTTGGGGGTGATTAGGATCGGATAAAGTCATCAGGGAGGAAGCTCCAGGATCAAATCTGGTGGTGTTCTATAAGGGGTAGCAATGACAAGATAGCCACACAGGGGCGCCCTATCTCTTGCCATGTGATGTCCTGTGCCACCCCAAGACTCTGCCAGCCACACAGCTATCTCCAGATGTACCCCTCACCTTTCTGCCAGAACTGTGAGCTAAATAAACTTCTTTTCTTTACAAAGTTTGCCTGCCTCGGGTACTTTCTTTTATCACAGAAACAAAAAATAAACTAATATATAATGGGATAACAGCAATTTGTATGCATGCATTCATTAGTTCATTTTATAAACAGGTGTACTGACTATGCGACAAGCATGTCCCAAGTACATTAAAAACACTAATTTACTAATTATTAATTTTAAAACATTAATTTATTCAATTTTCCCATGCTGGAAAACCAGCATGGAAGTTCCTCAAAAACTAAAAACAGAACCACCATGTGATCCAGCAATTCCACTTCTGGATATACACCCAAATGATTTGCATCAGTATATCCATGTCTCCATGTTTATTGCCACATTGATTACAACAGCTAAGTCACATAATCAACCAAAATGTCCATCAGTCATGAATAGATAAAGAAAATGTGGTATATGAACACCATGGCATACAGTTCCGCTTTCAGACACACACATGCAAACATCATAAAGACTAAATAAGATCCAAAATGTACAACAGACATTGTAAAATGGGAAGAAACTGTTCACAAGGAAAGAGAAACTGGGATAGGAGAAAGACGAAAAGAAGGAAGAAAAAAGAAAAATAATTATATATACAAGATAGATGTACTACTAATTTCTCTTAATTCATTGAAAAGAAAGGTTTGTGTTAATATTTTTGGAGAAATTAAATGCCTATATCTTGTACTCTGCGTAACTAATTTAAAGATAACAATACACAATGTATTAATCATTGTTACCCTATTCTTTTGGGGTTTTTTTCTCTTTAAAAATAAAAAAAAAGAAATTATGTTATTTGTGATAATGTAGATGAATCAGGAGGACATTATGTTACATGAAATAAACCAGATAGAGAAAGACAAATACTACATGTCTGCTGGGCATGGTGGTATATGCCTGTAATTCCAGTATTTGGGAAGCTGAAGCAGGAAAACTACCATGAGTTCAAGGCCAGCACGGGCTCCATAATGGGTTTAAGGCCAACCCACACTGCATAGCAAGTCCCTGTTTCAAAAAAACAACAAAAAATAGCTACATGTTCTCATTTATATTTAAACATACACATACACAAAATTAAAATATGTAGGAGCAGAACAAAATGGTGATTGCTATACCCTGATGAATGGGGACAAAGAGATGCTGATGAAAGGGCACAATGTAGCCAGGCTACTAGGGAGATAGGAAGGCCAGGAGTCTGAGACCACCCTAAGCAATTTAACTCAAAAACAGTTTTTAAGAGAGGAGGAATGTAGCTCAATGGTAAAGTGCTCAAGGCAAGGCCCTATACCCATCCCCAGTACCACACACACACACACACACACACACACACACTATAATGCTTTAGCTAAACAGGAATGATGAATGGTAAAAATAATAATAATAATATGATAATAAATTGCTGGGTGTGGTAGCACATGCTGGTAACTCCACTCAGAAGGCTGAAGCAGAAAGATCACAAGTTCAAGCCCTGCAAATTAGTAACTCAGACCCTGTCTCAAAATAAAAGTCAGGTGTGCAGCAGCACTCTGGAGGCTGAGGCAGGAAGATTGCCACAGGATTCAAGGCCAGCCCAGACTACACAGCAAGACCCTGTGTCGAAAAAAAAAAGTAAAAAAAATGCAAAGGACTGGTAACGTAGCTCAATGCAAAGGCCCTGTGTTCAATCCCTAGTATGAGAGAAAAGAGAAAAGAGGCGATGAGAAGAGAGAAGGGGAGGAGGAGAGGGAGGAGAGAGGGGAGGGAAGGGGAGGGCAGGGGCGAGAGAATTATTTAACAGTTATTAAAATAATCTGACATTGCTGAGCTCCAAAATATCTTAAATGGAAAGAAGAACACACAAGGTGCAGGATAGTGTACTGAATGGTTTCTTTGGTTCAGATTTTGTAGAATGAAGTACACAGATAGGTAAAGTATGCTCAGAGTATAATCCCGAGACAGGGTCAAGAGTGGTTACCTTTTGGGGAGTTGGACCAGAGGTGCAAGAGGTTCCTGCTTTTTATTCTTTATCCTTTTATACCATTTGCATTTTCTAAACACGAGCATGTATTCTATCATGACTGAGGGGAAAATGGAATTAGGGATTTCCTTCTAATTCTCAGTGTTAAAAGTAAATACATATATAATTTTTAAATAAAGTTATAGAATGTGACTAGATTAGTGATCACCAGATGCTACCTATGGCACATAGCCACAGTGGACTGCTTATTATTGTTTAAAGCTTTAAAACGTTCGCCATCAGTTCTGTGTGCCAAGCTAAGCAAGAATCACTTTAGCACAGAATAAAGAAAAGCCTGAGCCAGACTCCGAGTCAGGTGAGGTGGCAACGCACACCTTTTATCCCAGCACTTGGGAACCTGCGGCAGGAGGATCACTGTGAGTTCCAGGCCAGCCTGTGCTACAAAATGAGTTCAAGGCCAGCCCTGAACTGTACAGTGAAACTCTGTTTCAAAAAGACAAAAAAAAAAAAAAAAAAAAAAAAAAGAAAGAAAGAAAGAAAAGGCCTGATTTCTGGGTCTCAGTCCAGACTTGGTGAGTAAGACTGGGAGGGTGCCTTTTCCCCATCACTAGCTGACCCCAATGTGCAGCCAGGTTTGGGGGCTCCTGGGCTCCATGATCCCTGGGATTATGGACTGGGAACTGACCCCTGGGTGCTCTGCAGCCCAGCTGATCCCACCCTGGCAAGTTCCAAGACAATGGGATCTTACAGAGGAAGGAGGCACAGCCTGGCCCTGACTCAGCTATGGAGACATAGTCATTTTCAACAAGATCTGAGAAACAGAAGTGTGAGTCAGAAGAGATGAAAACAGTTCGAGAGGAAAGGGGGAGGGAGAAATATTCTCTGTGGTCTTCTGATTACATCAACAGCTCCCTTGCCTTAGGCCAGAGGAACCCCACAAGAACCCTTTCCAGTAAATCCACTAACATCAAACAGTCACTGGGACTCCAAATGCCAGGAATCTGTAATCTCCCTGACCGATTTTAACTAGCGAAACCTGTCATTTACAGGAACGCAGACTTCAGGACTCATCCACCATCACGGATGGAATGTTGAAGCGAGAGCCAGTGCTTTTCACAGATGGTGAAATGGAGATCTGCAAGTCCTCTCCACTTTCCATCCCTTCCCTTCTGCAATAATCATTCCAGTCCATCACCTGATTGTGGAACTGTCCCACCTAAAACCAAACGAAGCAAAGCAAGTTCATGAATGAAACATTTTCTGTAACCTGTAACTTCAGCTTAGGCTGTGCCAGCATTACTCACATGAAAATGAAATTGCTTTTAAAAATCCAAATCACAAAAACAAGTAGAACTGCTCCAGTACTACAGCAGGGAAGGGGAGCAGGGAAGGGGCAGGTATGGTTCCTCCCACCCTTTACCCATGCAGATCACTCCAAAAGCAACACAAAACCGGAATGCACAAAATTTATCTGGTATAAAACTGAAGTAGGTTTTTCCTCTAACTGAAAAAAAAAACCTAAGGAAATAATTTTGCCCCGTTTGTGTTGTGCTGTGTTGTGTTTTTGGTGTCCCTGTTCAGTGCAGGCTGCTCACTTGTGGCCATCATGGCTACTCAGCTTCCCCTTGACACCTCATGCTACTCAAAACACAGTTTGAAAACCACAAATCACGTTGTCCCCTGGGCCTACAGATCTGCTGCTCTGGGCTTCTGAGCCTGGCTGTCCCAGCAGCTGGGAGGACAGGAAATTCCATCTCGCTGTGTTACTTTCTCAGTCCTCAAATACCTGTCCTGCTCTCTTCATAGAATAAGGGTTCCAGACACCGCGAAAGAAAAATTTTGTCCTCGAAATAAGAACTAAGCAAGTCACGTGTGCAGCATCTTTAATTGCATGCTGGAAACTTTAGCTTTGGGAAAAAACCAAAAAGCAGGACTCTCAGCTTGGGCTAGCTGACTTCTGTGTGACCTCAGCTATCATTGGAGTGCACTTGCTTCAAAACTTGTTTCTAGTACATCTAATTAATAACTATGGGTTAATTTGCTTGTAATTTGCACCGCAGAGATATTGCTTGTTATTTCTGATGAGTATCTCACAACAGAATTTAGCTCAAATCAGTATTTTTATAACTATGGGAGGTAAGACGGTAGTTAGGCCTAACCTCTCGTCATTCTGAAATGGTGTACTTTACCTGAGTTTACCTCACCAGTTAACACTAAACTCTGACACGCAATTAATATGTTTATCTAAGAAGTTGCCTCAACCCCATCCTGAGCTCAGCCTCCAGTGGTGAATGCAGCGTGCATTGGGTCACACCTCTCCTGGGAGCCCTGGGAACTGCTGGTCCTCAGTCCACAGAGCGCAAATAATTTAATGGGGAAGTCAACAGTCTCAAAATGGCTGTGAAGTTTGTATCCACTACAAGACTGAGAAAAGGGTTAAAAAAAGTAGTACGTCCAAAAGAGAAAGAAAATGTACTTTTTCCAAAGATGAAAAATCATCCTGTGTACCAAGGTTCTTCAGCTGATTCACTTCACATAGGAAGATTCCTACTGCCTGATTAGGAGACACTACATTTTATTTCTGGACTATTTTTCTTAGCAACTAACTTCTTATGCAAAAAAGAAAGAAACATTGTTCTAAGCAACCACTCTTTTTTAAAAAAATTTGTTGCTGTTGTTATTGTTGTTATTGTTGTTGTGCTGGGGAACCAAATCCAGGGCCTTGTGCATGCAAGGCAAGAGCTCTACCACTGAGACATATCCCCAGCCCTAACCAATCTCATCATACTGCAGACTTTCTAGTTACAAGAAAAATTACATAAATTAAAAATTTCCACAAGTTAGTAGTCTTGGAACAATTGCATTCAAGCAATAACTCTAGACTATTCACTTTCCAGCTTGAGAGTTCTCCGGTAAACAATTTCTTCCTCTAACAACGGAATACTGTTTCGATTGAGTACCATCAAAACAAGTAATTCTGTCCATTATGGTCATTCATTTATTTATTCATCAAGTACTTATTATAAGTAAGACTCTCTCTTAGGAGTAAATATGATTTTTTTTATGACCCTTTGACTTCTAAGCACTGAGAAATGAAATGCCCCTCCGTTTGTTTCCTCAAACATGGAGACATTAAAAAAAAACAGCATTTAACAATTGGTACATGTTTAAATATGAAAAAATTATTTTGTTTAATGAATTTGTATTATTTGTATTTGCTTAATCAACCTAGCTTGCTCCATATGTTAATTTATTAAACCCTGGCAGTAATCCTGTAGGAGATTCTTTTGTAGCTACTGAAAGAAAAGCTGAGCAAAGTTAATCAGTCAGCAGTCACAGAGCTAAGCGAATGTACTTCAAACTCAGGCCACGTACTCACAGAGACACTACAGCTGCCTCCACCACCCACTCAAGCCCAAATGTGTAAACATGGAGCTTACCAGACTGACAGCTTTCTTCTCAGTCCAGGTCAGATTCTTGTTTTGGCCAGAGGGCTTTCCAGATTTAAAGAATTAAGACGCGATATGTCATCTGAAAAAAATCAGGATTTCCATTCTAGTAAAAGCAAATTGCACAACTGAACCAATCCTTTTATTGAAGACAACTAGAAAAGGAGGTGTTTTAAAAATCTGCTTGAAGCCACTAAGAACTAATAAACTAATTAAGAGTGGCTAGACTAGATCCAGAAGAAGGGAGAAATGGGGGACGTGAGCGTGGCATTTCAGGCAGCCTTTCCAACTAGTGGGAAGCAGAGACTGGACAGGGAGGGTGCTTCTGCCAAACTCAGGAGGTTGATGGAACAAAAGTTGGAGTCCAAGACTTCCAAGACAGTGAGAAGAAAACCTCTGCAGTCGTGCTGGGACTTCAAGAACATCTTTATTACTGAGCATGACCTGGGAGGCCAGCTTTGAATTATCACAGTTCCTGGAGACCATAATATTAAGTAAAAGAAGTCAGACACAGAAGGTTAATTATCACATGATTTCCCTTATATTAGAAACCCAAAATACAAATAAATTAAATCATAAAAAAGGACAGTTGTACAAAATAGGGAGATGGACTTCTTGGAGACAAGTAAGGGGTTCAGAGAGAGCCGGGAGATGGGAGGAGACCCAGAGGGAGGATAAGGTATCAAAATAAAAGTTGAGTTCCTCCCACCTAATAGAATTTCTCTATACAGCCCATGAACCAGCAGGTTACAGCTAACTTTAAGAAGCTAAACACCAAGGAAACAAGCTAACCACTTGTTCCTGAAGTGTTTCCAGATGGTCTTGGATAGAAATTTAACCCTTAGAGAGTTCTAGGGGAAAAAAGATTACAACATCCTTTCCTGGGTGGGGTTAATTGAGAAATCCTGGGTCAATGTCTCTCTAAGGACACTGAGATCTGCCTGGAAGAAAGCATGGCCTAAAATTTACAGGAAAGAGACTTTAAAGGCTGTGAAGAGCAGCCTGAACCTTCAGTTGACCCTGTGATTGATGATACTGTCACTATAGCTGAGACCTGCAGGCAGACAGGGGTGATGCTGAGGAACTGGTAGGGGAATACCCAGAAGGAACTGTCTAGAGAGGAACCTCCGCAGCTTCTGGCTGACCACAGAGAAGGTCAGCTGAGGAGCGCTCTGAAGAGGAGGGGGAGTATCAACAATCAGTGCGGCAAAGTTCAACTTCTGATATAAACGAAATCGTGAAAAAATGGACAAAGCTACAAACATTTGTGGAGAAGACACCCAGACAGAAAAAAGGCCAATCACTGGAGTTACTTGCTTGGTAACTGTCATGTCGTATTGCTAAAGAAAAGACAGAAACAGACAACCTCAGACCAGTTTTTCATTCTGAAAAGGTTGAGACCCAGTAAGCCAGAAACAGGTCCTGGTGGGCGACAGACTGTCCCAAAGAGAGAAGGACACCAGGGAGCCAGATGCTTGATGTCACTATGGAAGGGGACCCTCCTTCCAAACAGTAACTACCTTACATTTCATCTACCTTCCTGCAAGCTGAAGGTGTCAACTTGGATGATAAGTATAGTGTGAAAGTGTTGCTTCTGGTAAGCTAGGCACATTTTATAGCTTTTTGGAACATATTATAGGAAAATTATTGGTGTTTCTGGTGAGTTATGCACATTATACAACCGTTTAATATGAAAGGTTAGCTAAGGGATACTTTGGGAAGTTTAGAACACATTATAGGTATTTCCATTATTTCTTATGAGAAAAAAATCATCTTGACTTACAACTACCCCTTGAAAATCAAATTGAGTTCATAAGTCAAGAGTCCACTGTATAATATTGGGAATTAAAAATCTAGTAGATGAGTTTAACAGCATACTAAACATAGGGGAGAAGATTAGTGAACTGGAGCATAGATCAGGCAAAATATTTACAATGAAAGAAAAATAAAAGGATAGATGGCATAGGAAATTGGATAACGAACAGAAGAAACAGTAACAAGGTACTATATATATATATATATATATATATATATATATGAAATGTGAGAAAGGAGAATGGGAGAGAAACAACATAGAAACACACGAAAATTTTTCAAAGCTAATGAAAGACATAAATTCACATACTAAAGCAGCCTTAGAAGGATAAATGAAGTAAAACCCATAATTAGGCATATTACAATGAATCTGCTAAAACCTAAATATAAAGAAAAGACAGTTTATCTTCAAATAAGAAACAACTGGACTGATCACCCACTTCTTTAACAGAAACAATGGAACCAAACCAACAACAGAATGATTATCTTTAAAGGGGTAAAGAGAAATAACTAACGACAATTATTCTAAAATAAGACATTTTCAGAGAAAAACACAGAAATAAACCATTCGATAGCAATAACAAATAGAAGAAATGAAAGTATTTTGGTTCTTCTGACATTGTCTGAAAAATAGCAAAAGCCAATTACCATTAGACGTTAACTGGAGAGCATGTAGTATAATATTTAGAGTAGTCATTATGAAAAATAGTAAAAGTTTCCAGGGGGGAAAAGGTAACAAGGAAAACAACTTAGAACAGACAATAAAGGGAAGGCTCAATGAAAGGTGGCAGACTTAAAATCCAAAGGAACCAAGACTGTCACAGTACACAGAGATTTTCTTCCACATTCACACTGCAGAGGATGTTAAAAATCCAGACTCTGAGGCCAGTCGGCTTGGATTTTAATGTGGCTCCACATTCAAATAAGTTATGTAAACTTCCTCATGCTTCTCCTTACTCAAGTGGAAATAAAACCAAACATGGGAAATAGTATCTGCCTCATGAGATTAGGAGAAATCTACGAAATAATCATACATAGCACTTAACATCCTGCGTAAATACTCCACAAATACAAATTCTTATTATGATTAAAAATTCCTGGCTGTAGGGACTCACTAATGTAAGCAAGTATCACTAATGTAAGCAAGTATCTTCTACTTCTTCAGTTTGTCGGTATCCCAGATTTGAGCCACATCTTTATCAACAAAGATGACAGAGATACGCTGTGCTTTGGATATGGTTAGTCCTCCAAAGGCTCGTGGGCTGGAAGCTCCGTCCTCCATGTAATAATGACTCATGGGTGGTCATTAGGTCATGTGGATACCACACTCGGACAGAATTAATATCCAGTTCAGAGAAGTAGGTCAGTTGCCACAAAAGCAGGTTATAAGTCAAGGCCCCTCCATGTGCTTAATCTTTCTTACACAACCCCTTTCTGCTCTTCTGTCATGTCCTGAGCCTCCACGACATTCATCAGACCCAGCCAAACAGCTGTCAGTGTCAGGCATTTGAATCTCAGAACTGTGAACTAAATACAACTCTTACCCTGCAACTTTTCCAGCCTCAGGTGTTTTGTTATACTAACACAAACTATGAGACAGAAAACAGCCCACATTAATGATTTTTAAAAATCTGCCAGCACACAAGTTCCTACGAGGAATGTAACCATAGTATACTACAAACATGTATTTTTAAAAATGTGTAAATAGGGCATGGTGATCTACACCTGTAATCCCAGCACTTGGGAGGCTGAGGCAGGAGGACTGCTGTGAGTTCAAGGCCAGTATGGGCACATAGTGAGTTCAACGCTAGTCTGAATTGTATAGCAAGATCCTGCCTCAAAATAATAATAAATATATGTGTCTATACATACAGATACATACATTTTGTGTGTGTGCATACACACACACACACACACATCTAAGGGATGCCGGAAGTGGGAAGGAAGGTGATTAAGAAATGTCACTTACATGCACCAACTCCTTATGATGAAAGTAACCATTATGCACTACAAAGCTGTACTAATAAAAAATTATTGTTAAAACAGTACTACTTTTTTAAAAATTGGCTGGGGATACAGCTCAGCGGTACAAGCACCTGCCTGGCAATCGCAAGGTCATGAGTTCAATTTCCGATATGAAATAAGTAAATAATAAATCAACCCACACAGTGATTAAACTAACCTGTTCCTCCACTACAAGCACAAAACTGGTACAGTTAACAATTCAACCTAATTCAATAAACATTTATGGCACTATGATTAATACTAGAGGTCATGGAGTCAGCATAACAGTATCGATAAATCAAATACAGTTTTTGCCCTTAAACAGTACATTGTTTTCAGAAAAGGGAAAAAAATCCAACTAATTACAGAAAAGTGCAAAGTACTCAGCTGCCAAGCAAAAAAGTGAGCACTATCCTGATGGTACAAACCACCTGCTATCAGAAAAAGGAGAGTGGACTGTACACAACCCCGGAGTCAGGGACCTTGGTGTGAAGACCGCCTTCTGCCCTCAGTGGATTGTGACACTTTTGCTAACCTTCAATTTTCTCATTTGTGAAAAGGAGATACTAAAAACACTACAGCAAAGCATCCTATTGTGAAGATAAGAGTGAGACCGGATGTACACTCCTAGAACATAGCAGATGCTCAAAAAATTAATCTTCATCTCTTTGTTTATCCTAAGTAAAGCAGAAAAATTTATAGTGAAGGGAGCATCTGATGTGGGCTTGGAGGCATAACAAGAATTCAAAAGGCAAGAAGCAGGGCAAAAGCAGGCTGAGCACAACAGACATCCTCAACAAAGCCCAGACGTGATGAAGCCATGTGGCGTGTTGGAAGCCCGTGCAGTTCTCCTGGCTCTGACAGGAGGCTTAACAACTTTGAGCGTTAGTTGCCTGATTTCTAAAATGGGAATAATAACAGTGCAGACAACTTCCCTGGATGCAGTGCACTGGACTGACATAAGCTAACAGACAGGAAGCACTGCTGCAGTGTGGATCCTAAACGTCCTCTCTAAGGCCCACGCCTTAGAGGCTTAGACCCATCTGGATTCTATGGGGAGGTGGTAGAAATTTTAAAAGGCGGAGCCTAATGGGAGGTCTTCTGATCATTGGGGATGCTCCCCACAAGGGGCAGTGTGACCACCAGCGCTTCTTCCCTCCTCTCGCTTTCCAGTTGCCATGAGGTGGACAGCTTTCCCCACCACATGCTCCTGCTGCAATACTCTCATTTCCCCTGGGTCCAAAAGCAACAGGAACAATCGAT